GCATGGCATGGCATGGCATGGCATGGCATGGCACGGGTCCATGCACGCGCCAGAGCGCCATCAGCTTTGGCACAACGAAAGTCGAGAGAGAGAGCGCACGGTCAAGGTCCAGCAAGCGAAGGATGAATGCATCACCATCACCTCCTCCTCCTCCTCATCCACATCCACATCCACATCCACAACTCCTTCTCTTTCTACCGCCAGCTCATCTGTTGCGTCCGCTCGGCAGCAGCCGTTCAGGCACCTCGATTCGGTGATGGGGCATCCTCTAGCCAGCACGGCCAGCTCTTCGCTTCGGTCGCAGCACAGCTCCACTCCGCAGCTACCCCAGCCAGGTCCCAGCACATCCACCACCAAGTCCATCCATCGCACTCTAGCACCCTCTCCATCGGCCTTGACGCACCGCCCCCAGGAATTTGGACGCGCAAGGGCCCGCGCTCGCGTGTATCCACAGGGCATCCCATCCCATTCGCCTTCATCCCCTCATCGCAGTCAAGACGTCACAGCTTCCTCCATCGCATCCTCTTCACGCCCATCCGCCGTCGCAGAATACGTGGTAAGCACAGCAACAACCAACATCAGCGACCTACGCATACAAGTCTGTCTGCCTGTACCAGAGTCATCGGCAGGCTCGGCATCAAAAGTCGAAAGGCCGATTTGGTTCAAGGAAAGAACTCTCAGCTCCGAGCTGGACTCCACCTTGGGCGATGAGATCGTCGACAATCTGATCGATGCGAATAGCGGTAGAGTCAAGTGGTGTACTGCACGACCTGTGAGAGGGTGAGTAGATCATGTGCTGCACATCCTTCGTCCACTTGCCCAATCTGATGCCCTCTCTCTGACGCCATGACTCTGTAGGTGGTATCTCCATCTGCGGAGCCCCTCTCTTCCTCCCAAGACCGCAATACCTCTACGCGCCTCGCGTATTCTTTCAAGAGCCGATGCCGCCGCAATCGACGTTTCGGCAACTCCACTCGAGGTGGTCATAGGATCACGAATCGATCGTCAAGCTCTGCGAAGGTGTTCCTGTCACATTCCTGTCCATGCGCGACCCCTCCATCCATCACCAACAAGTCACGGCCGACATGATTCTGCGGCCGACTTTGAAGATGTGCCTCTGTCGAGACTAGAAGCGAGTCCCAGAAAATCCCCGACGCACATCTCGAGTGGTTTGGATGCGAGTGGTGCGCGGCACAGCACTTCGACATCTCTAGACCTCGGTGTGGGCCGCATCGGCTCGCAATTTCACGTCCGCAAGAGGAGCGCAGGTGCCGCTTCAGGGTCGGCGGACAGCTCAGTCGGGACTGCTTCGGAGCAATCTGCTCGAGATCTGGGCTCCAGAAATCCGAGCGCGTCCAAAGCTCCAAAGGACGTGGACGTGGTGCCCGAAGAAGCAGAGGACGGAGATTGGGATAGTCGCGCCAGGCAGGACGGTTTCAAGTCGGCCAAGACTTTGCTCAGGCCTCCTTCATCTAATGGGCTCACCAATCACGATCGACCTTATGAGCCGGCATTGCCCAAGGTGCTCTCTCCCCTGCAAGCGAACGGAAACAGCCTGCCTCATGTCAACTCGCATGAGATCGATGCAGACGGCAAGGATACCCAGCCCACAAGGTGCACGTTTGTCTTGCTCGATGGCACAGGAGCAAATGCAGAGGGATGGCAGAGCATCTTCGGAGCTGCAGATCTGAAGTCAGACCCACGGGCGAGCAGTGCAGACTCACTCTCGAGCAAACGGCAGAGTGGCAGCTCAAGCTGGGCTCGGTGGGCATGGAACATGATTCCTGCCCAAGTCCGGCCATCTTTAGCCCTGGATTCTTGCAAATCTTTCACGGTTCGTTGGATAGACGTTCCACAGCACACGTCGTCCATGACTGCAGCAGGTGAAATGGAAGCGCGAACAGACAGGACCGGCGTGCGGCTGGCAAATGCTGTGGAGATATTGAGGTTCGAGGATCTGACTCCCGCTTGGCTTGGTGCAAAGACAAGGGGTAGATTGAGGTTGCAGATGGATGCTGTCAAGGCTGTCGGTCTCGAAGTGGACTTTTGGATTCAGGTGAATGCACGCGTTGCCAGTCGCTGGCCTGAGCGAGGAATTCACCCACCCTTTCAACATCCACCCGTACAAAGGTTGCATTGAGCTACTTGGAATTCCTGGAAGAGCGCGACGTAAGTGTCTGAAAGAACGACTGACCTATTTTGTACAGCCACTGAATTCGGATTACGCGCACTTCCTACTCTTAGGGCTATCATGCTGCGTATGATGGATAGAGCGACGCAACTTTTGGAAATACAACGGCATACGCAATACAACCCATGCCGATCATGCTTGTGCGTGATGAACGTGATGCATTGTGCGTGATATCGGTATCAGTGCATGCTCTTGGTGCCGTGCAGGCGTGGAAGCGAGAGGCGGAAAGTCTAAGGGTACAATGGTGAATGGCTGATACGGGACACGTCTTTTCCTAGAGTCAGGCCCACTCGAGGATTTGAGAAATTCGTTCGCGAAGCGCAGCTTCTTGAATCCTTCTCGTTTGAGCTACTTCGATGGACCTAATGGCGCGTTCGTGGTCTGGAGAGGCTGGAGGAGTCAAGGGACCATACCTCTTTTGCAGCTCCACTGCGTCCAGATCACTTTGTTGCAGTTGCAGGAGCAGCTGCGGTAGCGCACCGAGCAGCTCTTGCTGCTTCTGAAACGGAACACCACTTAGGCGGATCTTTGCTAAATGCCTGCAAGAGGTGGTCGTGGGAGGCTGATACGCGCCATCGACGTCCATTGCTGATGCGTCGGCGTTGCTTTCGGCTGCACTCGAGCCCGGCCTCGCTTCTGCAAGAAGCCTGCCGTCTCTCAACGCCAAGGCGAGCATCGTGGCTAACGTCTCTACATCCAATCGCGCCAAAGCTGCGCCACGAATTTCAACGGCCTCTAGGGACGGCGCACTCGCTATGACTGAGCTCATGACTTGATCAGGAGCAAATCCTGCGATCTTGAGCTCGACGAGGTCTTGCCAGCCCGAGAGCAGCTCGATGAACAGGTCTTCGGGTCTCATGTACCAGCAAGGAGACGTCGACTAGTTGAGAGAAAAATAGACATTGCTTCAGCAGCAAAACGGCTGTCGGGGCATCGCAGACTGTCCCCACTCACCCATTCCACTTTGCGAGGTGAGAGACGCTGGAGAAAAGGAAGCGCTAACGAGAGATCACCTTGGAAGAAATGCATGGGCGCGTCATGAGCTTGATGATGTGTGTCACGCCGTTTGTGGTGCCGCTGAGACTCACTGCCTTGAAAGTGGACTGCTAGTCGGTCCAATCGACCAGCCGACGACGATCGCAGCAATATGTCTGCGAGCGCTCGTGCATCTGCCCAAGGAACTGAGCGCGCTTGCACATCCATCTCGCGAACATGTCCTGCCAGATCAGGTTGCGCGCACAATGTTGCGAGGAGTTGTGACATAGCGTTCGAGCTCCGAATGACCGGTTGTCGATAGAGCTTTGGTGTGCAAAGGCATCGGAGCGTCGAGGAAGCTGTGAGTGCACCGCAGTCAGCATGGCAGGCACCTCACGGGTAAAGTAGCGGAACTCACTCTGCGCAAGGGCAGGACCGCTGCCATTGACCACAGCGAAGCCAACGATGAGGTCCAAGACTTCCATAGGCAGCCGAAAGACCCATCGCAGCTTGCCCGTATTTCTTTGGTCCCAAGAGGACGAGGGACTACGTGAGGGTCCGGAAACATTTCTAGACAAGGTCTGCATGAGTCTCAGCTGCTCTTGCGTGGGCTCCGGTTCGGCGACGGAAAGAAAGTGATATGCCGCTGTGGGTACTCGAAAGGAAGGGATGGGTCGCAGGAAAGGAGGCCAGCCATCGCCGGGGGAACCCAAGGGAGCATAGTAGCCTTGCACCGAGGCCCAAGGCTGAACCGAAGCAGGCACGGATGTTGAATAGGCAGGCACGGCGAGCATTTTCGATGAGCTGAGGGTAGGATGATCTCTGTAGAATGTGCCAAGAGCAGGAGAGGTGCTGGCGGGATGTGTAGGAAGTGGATGATGGGGGTCACCGCAACGTTGCAGGTCGGCACCTTATCAGGTGAGGAATTGAAGCTCCTGTGACACCCTTCAGCAAGCGCGAGGGCACATTCACGAGTCTCAGATGCGTGGCAGCAGCTGGAGATGCCAGCCCAGCCCAGACCATGCAAAGCTTTGATTGAGATTTCAGGATGTCTTTGCGATCAGAGATGATCAGCTAGCTAGCCCATCTCGCAAGGCACCCCTTGCCAGCCATCTCCAGCAACAAGCGGCAGGGTCGAGGTGATGCAGCTGAGATGGCGAGTGTGAGTCTTAATCTTGGGCATTGCACTCACAATTGGTCCGGCGTTCGCGCGACACTGGCCTGATGCTCTCACGTTCGCGTGGCTGTTTAGCGGAGGACCGGCTGGAACTGATCGTATGCACGCTTATCCATCTGCATTCACATTCAACACTCGTGACTCACACTGTGACTCGTGACTATTCTCGACTCGTGCTTGACTCTGGCAGCAGACGAAGCTAGCGAGCGGGCGGGGGAACAACAGCAAAGGCGGGAGAAGCAAGCACGCGAACGTCCCTCTGAGGCCATCATGACTCCTTGACGCGACGCGACGCGCGCAGCCGGCCAGCAGCTGTCGAACGTGCCTTGCCTGTCTGCCTTCGATCTTATCGCGATGAAGAATTTTGTACTCACCGATCAGCCATTCGTTCGAGATTCAAACTTGGCACAGTGACCCGTAGTTTGGACCAGTTACGTGAGTCCACTATACCTGGTTTGCGAATCTTGAATCTCGAATCTTGCGGATGGAAACTCCTGCAGGCTATGCGCACAGATTTTGTCGTGTCAATGTGGCGAAGGTCAAGTCCAAGTGTACCGGTAACGGCCTGGTGGCCCCGCAAGTTGTCTTTGTAACAAGACAACAGAAACGCTGCATGGTGAGTGGCAGCCGTTGCTGCTGAGGACGAGGTGAATTGCGTAGCCTAGTCGACAGCCTGGAGGATTCATGTTCGCGATCGCCTACTCGCGCTTTCCACCACCACCCTCCAAACGACGTGCGGATAACGCACACGCACACGCACACTCACGACAATTCGACGCTCACAGTCTTGACTGACGACATTTCGAACTTAGACTAGCTGCCATCAAAATCAAGACCTCATGAATAGCATGCGTACGAAGATGAGGTATACATGCACAGGTGTTAGAGCAGCTCATGAGAGCCCAGGCACAGCCTATCCGGACGTCAACGTCACGTGCAAAAAGTTCAGGGTGGAGTCATCTGCTGGAATCAAGAATATCGCGCGGATCACTCAAGACTTGAATTGCGCAATCGAAGCCACGCGCATGTACCTGCATCGGTCTGCACAGGAAAGGCGCTTTTGCCCCCAATTCGTGCACATGCGTCAAGAAGAAACCTGAGTGGGACACTCGCGCTGCGACTCTTGTTCTGACTGGAAACTACGACTGCATTCAAGATTCGCCATTCGTG